GCCGGTCTGTCTTCTCCTGAATATGCTGTCGAGTGTGGGACAATAGGGCTAAATCGTCTGCGAAGTCGAGGGCTTCAAGCGTAGTAAAAGGGGTCCATCTTATGCCTATTCGCTGATCTTCCATTGTTCGACAAAGGACCCAGTCGATAGCAATATTGAATAGCATGGACGACATGACACATCCATGCCGTACACCGGTTTTAACTTCAAAACTTAGATCCCCCTGACCGATGTAACATGTGCAATTTGAGTAGAAGCATTTGATGATATTAACAATACGTTGTGGAATGCCATATGCTCTCAGAATCTGTCAAAAACTGTCCCTATGAATGCTGTCAAATGCTTTCTCATAGTCTATGAAATTTACATACAACTCCCTGTTCTACTCAGTACATTGCTCAAGTATGTTCCGTAGTGTGAAAATATGATCCGCACATCCACGCCCCTTGCGATATCCAGATTGTTCGTTCCACAGATTGTCATCAACAGCTTGGGTTTGCGCTGTATAATGACCTTGCAAAAGATTTTACTCGGCACAGACGAAGGGTAATTCCTCGCAAGTTGTTACGAATCTGTAGAAATCGTCTTTTCGATTGATGAGCCGATTGGAGCCCAACCTCTTGAATCTATTAACGAGAAGAGTAAATCAAAGATTTTCTGAGCGTCTCACGTAATTGACAACGTTACGAGAAGTTACAGAAATTTTGTCACAACACGGGTGATTGCTATGTATTCTCTAGCTACATTATGCTTTACTTAAAGTCAACGGTTTGCAAACCGGTAACCTATGAAGTCTGTTATCATTCGAATTGTGAGTTATCATCACCTTCCTCCACAATGCTCGTGTCCAGTGAAACAGACAACCTTGACGTGCCACGTCAGACAGTAACCGCGGGAAAACTGACCATAAGGTGCTTAAAAAATCCAAGACCAACTTCTTAACCAATAACAAAACAGAAAGTAGATCAGGCACTACTCGAGACACAAAAAGGAGTAAAAATTGTGAAACTTAGAGTTACCAGAAATAAAATGTTGTCTTTGATTGTCATTCCTAGTAATATTATGTAGCATTTATAGTATAGCAGGACTAATAGTTTAACATTCGATAGTTAAGTAATTACTCTGATCGTCTACTACCTCACGGTAGTTTCGATTTTTCTTCCCGGACATGACCATGAACAGGAGGGGAACTTCCTCGGCTAGTTCACTTCTTTTTGTAAATTCATCTGTGGAGAAAAGATGCATGAATGAAGGGCAGCAAAACTTGAAGGTACCTTCAACGCACGAGGTCTTCAAGTTTTCCCGACAAAGGTCGCCTTACTGCTGGGTTGTAGGGAAAATGAGGTTCTGCTTGGACCTGATCTGGATGTCAGCCTGCAGAAAATTTGGTGGTATATACTCCTGGGCCAGTTCGAAACCAAGATCTGTGGGGCAGTTTGGCCACATTTTCGCGCCAAATAACTTATTAAAGTTATGAACTCTTTTATCGTGACGTCACATGCACAAAAAAGGCTAGTAAAATAGAGCTCCGCTAATAACTCAAACTCGGTTAAAACGACAAACAAAATCCAATTTCCCTTTGATTTGACCCCATTTTCTTTATCATTTATCATAGTATTATCAGCTGCCTCGAACTCGGTTGACTCTAACTCCCTGTTAACTTCCCTGATAAATCGAACTTTAAGTGACTACGTCACGCCCAACGTCAAAGTTTCAGAACCTAGCTGATCAACACATTCGAATCAATGATCAGGTAACTTAACCATAAATCAATCAGCGAATTTGAGATTTTTTCTAACATAAATAAATGTTGTCATGTCTCTAATGTTTGGCTCGACACTAAAAGATTGTAACCTTCATGGAAATGGCTGTTAAAATATTTAATTGATTGTTATTTCAAGTGCAAATCATGTGAATAACTTTCTTGTCTACAGATATGATTGGCATGTAGTAAAGTTAATTGTCCTTTGTATTATAAATGTCATTTGAGCGAGATAAAAATAAATTTTTAACCAGTGAATGTCTGAAGGAGGTTTATTCTACGAATGAATAGGGAAATGTATATTGGGGACATTTCCACAATTTTTGTCGGGCTATATCTGACTGATATAAAGGTGCTCAGTGATGAAAAATACCCGCTCGTAATAACCGTTAAATGTAATCTCTAACTTGTTCCCAGATGTCCCAGTGAAAATAAGCTGCAAATCAACTATTAATGACAGTAATATTTTATAGGGCTTTTTCAGAATAATACTTTGTAACGTATATGTGCACGATCCTTCGCAGTAAAGCACTATTTGAGCAATAGTGAAAATCAGACCTGAAAAAAATTTCAGGCCTGTACTGGTCAAAGAGGAGTGTGTACATAAAAGCAAAAGCGCCCTGAATACCTGAACATGAACACAGAACATAAACTCAGAACGTAAACTCAGAACGCGAACTCAGAACGTGAACTCAGAACATGAACACAGAACATGAGCTCAGAACATAAACTCAGAACGTGAACTCAGAACGTGAACTCAGAACGTGAACTCAGAACATGAACTCAGAAAATGAACTCAGAACATGAACTCAGAACATGAACTCAGAACGTGAACTCAGAACATGAACTCAGAACATGAACTCAGAACATGAAACAAGATCATGAACTCGGAGCATGAACTGAGATCACGGACTGAGAGCCTGGACTGAGAGCCTTGAGTAAGAATCTGGACGGAGAGCCTGAACTGCCGGAGAGCCTGAACTGCCGGAGAGCCTGAACTGCCGGAGAGCCTGGACTGAGAAATGAGCCGAGGAAATGAACTGCGAGCCTGAACTGCATGCCTGATATGAGAAAATTAGCTGAGAGTTTGAACTGAGAGCTTGGGCTGTGAGCTTGAAAGAAGAACCCGAATTGAGAGCCTGTGCCGAGAACCTTAAGTGAGGGCCTCAATGGGAATTTACGTCAGCCGTGAAAGGGCCTAAAATCAATCAATCAGCCATCTAAATGCTTAGATTTTTTTCGTCAATCGTCAAAATTACAGCTTCATATTGGCCGCCAAACCGTTAAGAGTTCTACCGATCTCCCCAATTCAGCCGCTTAGCTATAACATTTTTAGATCTGGAAGTATCTATAAAATGGTAGACTAGTCTCCAGGTTTCCAAAAATACTCAGTTTATCATCTCTTTCACTGATTCTCGTTAATAAAAATGACAGTTTAAAAATATTTTGATTTTCAAATTCATTTTATGAGATTGAAAAATAGCTGATTACACCGCTAACCTGTATCCATGCCTTTCGACGAGATCCCAACTAAAATCACTTTACTTTTGAATCATTTTAAGCGTTCTGAAAGCCGTTAATAGCTATTTCTTATCGTTAAACTCCTCATCGGGAGTTTTCACCGTCATATCAATGATTTCCTCGGGATCAACGACTCTTTTATCTATGATCTACGCTTAAAATGATCTTAATGAGAGTGGTAGAAGACTAACCTAGATTTGCGCGAGACAATAATTTAACTTTCGAATGAAAGAGAATCCTAAGAGAAAATTCTAAAAGTGCACGAGGTACTATTATAACAACCCAGTGAGAGAGAATTCTAACAGTGCACGAGATACAAATTTAACAATCGAGTAAAATATAATCCTAAAATTTTAAGTGTACAAGATACTCGAATGAAAGGGAATTTTAAAGTGAGCAAGACACTAAAGTAAAAAACTAATGAAAGACGGTCCCAAAAATATGCGTGGTACTAATGTAACAATCAAATCTAAGATTACAAATGTAACAATCCAATGAAATAAAATCTTAAAAGTGCTCGACATACAAACTTTACAATCCGATGAAAAGCAATCTTAAAAGTGAGGGGATACTAACGTAACAATCCAACGTAAGAGGATCCTAAAAGTGCGCGAGATACTGACGTAATAATNGCAACGTAAGAGGATCCTAAAAGTGCGCGAGATACTGACGTAATAATCCAACGTAAGAGGATCCTAAAAGTGCGCGAGATACTGACGTAACAATCCAACGTATGAGGATCCTAAAAGTGCGCGAGATACTGACGTGAATCCTCTATTTTGATGATCTCACCGTTCTTAACTGTCAACTAACCTCCTAGTTTTAGATTTAAAAATACCTGAAGACAGTGCTCAGCTCTGACACAGACTAACCCTCTTAGATCTCAATTGGTCGCCATATTGAATCTCACCCGAACAATTACCGTGTTGAATGGCAACGGAGCCACGAGCTTCCCAGGGAAGTGTTTTAAAAAGCGCGCTAGCCTGTTTAAAAAATGGTGTTGACGTGGAACTGAAGAACTCCATTCAATATTTATTTCTTTCATGATCATTTCAATATATAGACATGGGTGTGGTTTTTTTTAGTTAACTCATGTAATTATAACAGTTGATTTTTGGTGTGAAAGTATTTACTTTGTTACGCCTTCATTGTGAAATTGTACGTGGGTCGAAGCAAATCCCGATTTCGACAGAAAAAGAATACGTTCTGTGCTGAGGAAAAGAGTCCAAAGGTTTGAGGGCGAACTGGCAAAGGTTGGGCGAACGTACTTTACGTTAGGGGGCGAACTCGCAAATGTGGTATGGGGCGAAACCACCATACTTCTTTCGTAATTCGACACTCCTAGCCGTTTGTGCAGGGATTTATGGCGTGCATTTGCAGTTGTGTAAAAAATTCCACGATCTCGATTTGGGGGTGAACTTATAAGGGTTGGAGCGAACTCACAAAGATGGTTCTAAAAGCGAACTTGTAATGGGGCGAAACCATCAATTACCAATTGAAATTGCGCAAAGACGAAAGTATTTAGGAAATTTAAAAGAACTTCGCGTGTTTTCGAATCTGGTCTTCAAGGCCAAGTGAAGGATTCAATATCGCGCGTATTTATATTCACAGGAATGGAATTGAAACGGAACCTTTTTACCTGTGTATAAATGGGTATAGGGGTAAGTGTGCAAGTAAAAATCAAGATCACACCACGAAGAAATAACACTCGCAGCCATTTACATCTCCGGTACGTTTTTTATTAGACATTAACTCCCATCATATAAGGTTACGAGTTTGTGAGATAACTATTACTTTGACCCATTCGTTCCCCTATAATTGCTTAACGACGACGTCTTCGGCCAACACTTTGTTGATTGATGTCCACAACTTGACCTTTTTCGTCGATTTCCTTTATTCCGCTTTTGTCCTGTTCAGACACACACTTGAACTGTTGACAGCGACATGCTTTAATCTCGAAAAAGGTTGTCGAACGGACTTCGTTGTTGGGGCAGTCTAGAGTTGCCGTGTAGCGTTTTCCTGTAGCGGGCTCGCAACATGTGCAGAACGACTCCAGGCCGGTCTCGCCATACGTTGAAGTGGACATGGACTCACAAGTTCCGCGGCATTTGTTGTGCTGGTACTTAGCTCTGGATGTGCAGTTTTCCTTTGTCTTGATGTAATCAAATTTTCCTTTTTTCAGTAAACAAGTGCCACTGCTGGCTATGTCGAAGTTGGGGCCTGGTTCTATGAAAATTCAGTAAGGGCAAATCAGTATCAGTAGCAATTCTGACTAACTAACAGCTTTCTCAGGCTGATTTAACAGAGAGCAATGCGGCAGCGGCGCTTGAGCCTTGACCGAATCACAGTTTTGTGTTCCTTAAACATTTCGCTCTTACGGTACCTTTCTTTAGCCAGGGATACAAAAGGGTTTCGCCGACATGTCAGGCAATTATGAAAAAATGGTGGGGGGGGGATGGCCTGGAATTCCTTGTGGGGGGGGAGAGGGAATACCTCTATACCAACTAAAAGCGAAGTCAGCCCGGGAAAGTTGGGCCTTAGGACTCGCAAGCTAGCTTTTTCTGACTCTACTCTATTCTACTCTTCATATTCTTAACAAAGTCCGTGTTGGAAAAGGTGGTGTGTTGAAATGGTCGCTGAATCAGGATAGAGCTCTCGAATGAGCAAAATAATTTTCTTTCTCTGTTAAATCCATTGGTTTTACACAGCTTCCTAGCTCTGCCGCAACCACTCCTTTTTCTTTTGTACGTTTGTGAGTTGTTTCTTTTTGACCTCATTATTCTCCACCGCTTCAGTCCATCTTAGTTATAAAGATGATATATAGGTTCTCGGGTGGTGGATAGTAACATGCTCATTAGCTCGGGAAGTGGTCGGCCCTGTCCACGCAAACTCTGAGAGGATCAACCAGGTGAGGTACTTACCCCTCGAGATGTAGATGTAAAATACCCATAACAATAAGACTTGTACTTCTGGTATTTTTCACTGATTTCTTGACTTAACTTACCGCATGGAGGACAACAATCCTTATCATTGGCAGGAGGTCGAATATAACCCTACAAGAAAAGGAAATACTTAAATCAGCAAAGTTATTTAAAATGCATGGCGCTGATGTGGGTTGAGAATTACGCTGGAGATTGGCAATGGTAACCAATCGTTATTGCTCCTGTTGTAGATGTTTTTTTCTGAATTTCTAACCAGCCAAATGTTAATGTAACAATTACCTGAAAGAAAGCATATTTTGACCTTCAGATTGTATACAAATGTCTGAAGGTGCGTTTCTAATTGGAGCTCACCTGCAAAGATCATTTCCTCACTTGTAATCTATTGGTGCATGCTCATGAGCACGTCGATAATGATTCCCTTGGACTTGGTTTGGATACAAGAAAACAAGCGCTGACTAACAAGAAAGACGTATATAAAGCCCAAGCTCAAATGCTCACCGTTGGACATTTGTCGCAAATAACATGCTCTGTTTTTATCTGTACACTTTGGTTTAGAGGGTAGCAAGGGTTAACAGTAAGTTCGCACTTGAGTTTCAAGCAGCTCCCATCTGTCCAGGTAGTGTCGGGCTATAACAAAACAAAAAAATATCAACATCACGACACCTTAGAAGTGACCTACTTTTTTCATCAGCCTGCTAGGGTTGCTCGCTAAAAAAACCAACTTTCCCTTTCAATACTGTAGAATCATAGAAAACCAAGTGTAATATTGTAGAGAGGGAGAGCCGGGAGTTAAAATAAGGGTATTGGGAATAACACTGGTTGGAGTATTTCGATAATATTGCGCTCTTATTAGTAACGTATCAACATTTTTGCCGCTGATTGATGCCATATTCTCTGTTTGCGCCGGCACGGTAGGCATTTGACTCACCGCATGATATTCTGTCACATTTTTGCTGTTAATGTAGAAGCATGATGGACAGATTGACGCTGTGGGAATAAAAAAAATTGCAGATAAAACTTAATACACAGCAACTAAATATTACTGTGGCTCAATAACTGGTGTTTATTTCTGTCAAAATCATCTCAGTAGGCAGTCAAACAATCGAATATAATTGGCTAATAACACGCTCAGAACCGGTCCAGCTTTACACTGTACAGGCCAAGGTCCGAGTTTTCCGGGCTGGTCCCAGCAAAGCATAAAAGAGAAGACCGGAAGAAAATTATTTACCAATCAGGGTCGGTCCGTAGGGGGAAATCCATGCGATCATCCCACCCATTAAAAAACCCTTTTCTAATCCATAAGAATTTAAGTGTGATCCTTAAAGGTTTTCTTTAGTTAACTGAACACATTTTTGTTGTGTTACGCAAAATTGCAAAACAATTCCCTTTTTGTCTGCGTTTAACAAGAGACAGAGATGAAACTAGGGAAGGACTACGGAACGGTCAAGCTGATATTCCGTACTTCTATCTTTTCCTGAGATTTTGTGGCTAATTGTAATTTCGAAAGTGGCCGAAATTTAAAAGAAGGGCTAATGGACCCTTCAATATACATTCTAACCGAAACTTCAGATTTTTTCTAGGAAAGCGTATCCAGCAATTGCTTAGTGAAATTGCGAGTACCCATACTAACGATGAAAAAATATTTTCTTAATCAGAAAGGAATTAGCCCCCAATGCTTTACAAAGTGACTCTCAAAGGGACACTCAATGTAAGAATTTGCAACAGAAGGTAGCTACGCACGGGGCTTATCTAAAAGTGAGTCTACTCAGTACAAAGGAAATAGCAACTTCGGATACTCACAAACGCTAAAAGATGTCGAAACTGAGGAGGACAGCGAGGGACTAATTGAGCTCGAGAAACTCGTGGAAGCCGATGAGGAAACAGACTTCGTGAATGTTGGCGTCGTTGTCGTCACCAAACTGGTGAAACTAAAATAAAAGAATGCCTCTTCAACAAAATTATTAATGGAAGTACCTTAGCCAAGGGAAAGATAACCGACTAACTCTGATGACCTACACATATTAGAGGTTAAGAGATCTTTGATGCTTCATAATGCAAATTTAAGCAAATTGGGGGAACAAACAAAAAACCGCAACCAAAACCAAACCTATGCATTTTGAATTCTTGTTTCCCAATCCAAACTACAAGACAGGTTACCGAGAAAATATACCGAGACAACACACCAAGATCTGACATGCATTCGAAAGCTACCATCGCTAGCGAAGGTCTAGGGACGCTTAATTCGCTTCCGTACGGGCTGCACTGGTTCTCGAATCTTTTCTTATTCCTGCCCCACCCCCTCCTCCCGTCTCCACAATATGTAAAAATAGTTATTTGCACTCAAGTTATTGCTTAAGTACGAAAGTTTAAGTTAGTTACGAGTATATTGTTTGAATGAAGAGATTATAAATTTTGAATGAAAAGTTTTAAAAACAAAGAACTTAACCAAGAAGAGCTATTTGTATTTACCTTCTCGATGACATTTGACAATTATTCTAGTATAATCTTAAGAGAAACTCACCGAGACAAGGTGGTTGATGTTGATGTTGAAGTTGATACTGATGTGGAAACACTCGTTGATACTGATGTGCTGGCACTGGTACTAGTGCTCACACTAGTTGACGTTGAGGTAGACACACTGGTGGATACGGATGTTGAAGTACTTGTGCTTGCACTGGAATATGTCGAGAAAACTGTGGTTGTTGGTGTACTGACACTTGTCGAGGTCGATGTGGATGTGCTAGTGCTGAGCGATGTTGATAGACTTGGTGACTTACTTGTGCTCAATGAAGTCGATGTTGAAACAGATGTAGAGGTGGACGCTGTCGTCGAGGCACTTGTGCTTGCACTTGACAATGTCTTGGAAACCGATGTTGTCGGTGTACTCACACTAGTTGACGTTGAGGTAGACACACTGGTGGATATTGATGTTGAGGTACTTGTGCTGGCACTTGAGTATGTCGAGAATATTGTTGTAGTTGGTGTACTAACACTTGCTGATGTTGACGTGGAGGTGCTTGTGCTAACAGAAGTTGAAACACCAGTCGATGTTGAAGCAGACGTTGAGGTCGATTTCGACGCCGACGTAGACGCACTGGTCGACACTGAGGTTGAATAACTTTTGCTGCCACTTGAATATGTCGTGGAGACCGATGTTGTTGGAATGCTCACACTAGTGGAGGTTGAGGTAGACACACTGGTGGACACTGATGTCGAGGTACTTGTGCTAGCACTGGAATATGTCGAGAAAACTGTGGTTGTTGGAGTACTGACACTTGTTGATGTTGACTTGGTTGTACTGGTACTAGTTGACGTTGATACACTTGTTGACTTACTTGAACTCAATGAAGTCGATGTTGAAATAGACTTCGAGGTTGAAATCGACACGCTTGTGGACACTGAAGTTGAGATACTTGTGCTGGCACTAGAATAAGTCTTTGAAACTGATGTTGTTGGAGTGCTCACACTTTTTGAGGTCGACATAGACACACTTGAGGAAGCTGATGTTGAGGTGCTTGTGCTAGAACTTGTTGAGGTTGACAAACTACAAAGAAAAAAATGCAAAGTACAGAAATATTAACGAGAAGACCCAGCATCAGTTTGGTATATTTGGTGCGATTTTATCGTAAGGGGTTTAGTTTGAAGAAAAATCTAGAGTTAGCGTAAGAAACCATAACTTCCGTGTGTGGTTCGGTTTTAGTAGGTTATGGCACAAGTCAAGGGTAAGATTTCTTTTGAATGCTCAAGGCATTAACTTTGCCTCTTGTGAAAATATACTTATTTGGTGATAGTAGAGTACGGAGCAGGGCAGGATGTTAGTTGTAAACTGCAAACCAACCAAGATCACTTCACCACCCCTGCCTTTTCTTTCTTTGGCTTGATATAAGCCTTATTTCCCTCCCGTTCTGTACACCCCTCCCATCAACTAGCCACGTATCCTAACATTCCCGCTTTCACCTATGGCTGCACTCCACGAGTGAAGGTTGAAGTGGATTGGTTTATGCTCCCTCACCATCCTTAACTATTAACTTACCACCCTTCACAGCTGAATGGTAAATGTAAAAACCTTGACGTGGATGATTGTGTCGATGGCTTCAAACTTGGTGGCTTTCGACTTGATGTGGGTATAGAGTACTGTGTCCCTGTACTTCTTGTCAGGGCACTAGATGGGAAAACAGTGACTGCAGTCTTCTCAGAAACTGGTTGATATGACGACGGTAACACTGGAGTGGACCTCGAAGTAGAAACACTGAAAGACGAGGGAAATACCGGTGAGAACTTTGAGGCAGAAGAAATGGTGAGGGCTGACTTCCATTTACTCTCAACGCGAGAAGATGGAGCTTGAGTATACAAAGGCACCGAGCTAACCAAGTTGAACAAAAAAGTTGACTGGTGACCACTTTGTCATCACACTTGGCATTTTAGAAAAATCCACCCTTCCCTTTTCCTAAATCTCTGACATTTGTAACAGCACAGCGTAATCTTGATGGTTATATCTCCTATCCTCTACACTCTCTTCTATAATTTTATTGGAATCAATTGGTTGATTTAAAAAGTCATTTGATTTTTAGTCTCAAACGACTTGTTGCAAGCAAACAAAATACAGTGGAACCTCGATTTAACGAACCTCTGTATATTGAAATCCTTGGTATAACGAATGATACTTCAGTTTCAGCCTGGCTAAAGTTACAGTAAAATGTATGTCACAGAACCTCGATATAACGAATCCTCGATATAACGAACCAGTTTCCCCAGTCCCTTTACACTTCGTTAAATCGATGTTCCACTGTAGTGTCTATAGCACATTTCAAAATAAAAACTCTCTCGATACTTGAAGGAAAAACCTGGAGTTCTAACAATTTGGCAGTTTTTTTCCAGGGAAATGCAACTACAGTTGTACTAACCACGATACTACTAACGCCAACATGAAGCCCATAACATTTATATCAAGACCACCATACGTCTCACAACTATCATACCTTTAGTTCTCTCATCGACAACCTCACAATATACTTAATCAACCTCACAATATACTTAAAAACTACAAAACTATATAATTTTGACATTCGCTATTAAAACGTTTTAAAAAGTACTTCTTACTGTTTTTAAGATTAAATATAGCAGTATTACCTTTCAAGAATTATCCTTAACTCTTGAAACTTCCATTACCGACGCCACCATTTTGAACATCTTAGTAACGTAGCCAGAATCCATACCGTGCAATTCTTCAAATAGCATTGAGTTCTGCTTTCAGTTAGCTAACCCACCGAGTGAAACAATATGAGCCGAAGTCGGTAACGTTACAGATTAGCGGCCAATGTAATAAGTTTGTAGACAAATTTCTAGCGGTAAGGTTACCCATTAGAATCTAAAAACGCAGTCAGTGTTTGAATTTCATGGATCAGTTTTAATGACGGCGATAACAGTTATCTACCTTCTTTTGCATGTTTCTTCTTTTAACGTCTACATCATCATAAATCTCACAGCACCATTGTCACAACAATCATCACCGCTAACAGCATTATCATCACCATCATTAACCCCATCTTCATCATCAACTACAATTTGACTTCAATGGCTTTTTTGATCCCTCAAAGAGAATCAACTCCTGGCGCGTTTGAGTACAAACCTACCAGGCTCCTTCACAACTACTGTAATCTGATTAGCTACGACACTCGTCATCTGTCGTGTGGCGAGTAATCCGACGGTGTGCAGTGGTAAACAACACCATAAACCTGTCAGGTGGTTAAGTTTTGAACGACGACTAGATTTATACAAATGCAATTGGATTATTCGCACTCGGTTTCTAGGCCTAAAGAAAAGGGCGGCCTTTTGGAGCTATCTTTCATCCTTCTTATTCTTCAATGTCATTTTTTTCCTACTTGGCTTTGATAGCTTCCAATATCAATAATTAGTATATACCACACAAGTGAATAGCGTCTTTTTGCGTAAGCTTATTGGCTAGTTCGGAAGTGAATAGCAAGTATTATTCACTTCCGAACAATCGATGAATCATTTACGTATGATAAAATGGAGAGTAAGAAAACAAATTTATATATATATATATATATATTTGTTTGTTTGAATCTTCAACTTCCCATGCTCAATGATTTACGTATGATTAAATGGAAAATGAGATTGTATAAAGTAATAATCATCGTTTTCGAAATCATGGAAGTGTCTTAATGAATGATGCTTGCTAATCTAAAGCCGACAATTTAATTCTTTTTATATTCAACTGCATTTCTTTCTACGTGGAAAGGATGTACAAAAAAAATTTACTAAAACCTTTCTCTCGAGAAAAGGAAAGACACTACCAGGAGGAAAGGCGCACCTTTTTCTTTACTTGAAATGCTACGAAGGTCCTAGTGAAGAGGAAAGCCTCTTCAAAAGTGTCAGTAATATACATGAACTTCCATGAAAAGAAAGACCTGACCTACGCACAAGTCTTGTACATGTATTTTACGTTTTCCTTTAGGGTTGACAAATACTATACCAGGAAAAGTGCCGTGAAAAAATATCAAACCTCGAGGAAAACGCAGAAAGAATTGCATTCACATACCTGGTACTAGCAGATGTTGAGGTGGACACACTTGTTGACGTTGACGTCGACGAACTTGTACTAGCAGATGTTGATACACTTGTTGAGGTCGTCTTTGATACACTAGTACTACCAGATATTGAAGCACTTGCGGATTTACTTAAGCTAATCGAAGTAGAAGATGACGTCGAAGTAGAAGTACTGGTGGACACTGACGTTGAATAGCTTTTGCTGCCACTAAAATATGTCGTAGAAACCGATGTTGTTGGTGTGCTTACACTTGTTGAGGTTGAAGTAGACACACTAGTGGATATAGATGTTGAAATACTAGTGCTGGCACTTGAGTATGTCGAGAATATTGTTGTAGTTGGTGTACTGACACTTGCTGATGTTGACGTGGAAGTGCTTGTGCTAACGGAAGTTGAAACACTACTTGATGTTGAAGCAGAGTTAGAGGTTGAGGTAGACACACTGGTGGAAAATGACGTTGAAGTGCTCGCACTAGAAAGTGTCGTGGATACCGACGTAGTTGGAATGCTCACGCTAGTTGAGGTTGAAGTAGACACACTGGTTGATATTGATGTTGAAGTACTTGTGCTTGCACTGGAATATGTCGAGAAAACTTTAGTTGTCGGTGTACTAACACTTGTTGAGGTCGATGTGGAAGTGCTTGTGCTTAGAGATGTTGATACACTAGTTGACCTACTTGAACTCGATGTAGTCGATGTTGAAACTGATGTAGATGTGGATGTAGACACACTGGTAGACACTGACGTCGAAGTACTTGTACTTGCACTTGACAATGTCCTAGAAACCGATGTTGTCGGTATACTAACACTACTCGACGTTGAGGTGGACACACTGGTGGATATTGATGTTGAAGTACTAGTGCTGGCACTAGAGTATGTCGAGAATATTGTTGCAGTCGGTGTACTGACACTTGCTGATGTTGACGTGGAGATGCTTGTGCTAACAGAAATTGAAAATCTCCTTGATGTTAAAGAAGAGGATGATGCCGATTTCGACGCTGAGTTCGACGCACTGGTCGAAACTGAAGTTGAATAACTATTGCTGCCACTCGAATATGCCGTGGATACCGAAGTTGTTGGAATGCTCACACTAGTTGAGGTTGAGGTAGACACACTAGTGGACACTGATGTGGAGGTACTAGTGCTGGCACTGGAATATGTTGACAAAACTGTGGTTGTTGGGGTACTGACACTAGTTGATGTCGAGGAAGATGTACTGGTGCTACGGGATGTTGATTTGATTGTTGAAGTAGTCACACTTGTGGATATTGAGGTCGAATAACTTTTGCTGCCACTTGAATATGTCGTGGATACCGATGTTGTTGGAATGCTAACACTAGTTGAGGTTGAGGTAGACACACTGGTGGACACTGATGTGGAGGTACTTGTGCTGGCACTGGAGTATGTGGAGAAAACTGTGGTTGTTGGTGTGCTAACACTCTTTGAGGTTGAGGTGGATGTTGACTTCGACTTACTTGTTGACGTTGAGGTAGACACACTGGTGGACACTGATGTTGATGTACTTGTACTCGCACTTGACAATGTCGT